CGAAGATGAAAAGTCCGACGATGATCTGGTTTTATACGATCAGAGAGAATGGGTTTGGATACAAAAATGGTTGAGAATGAGAAAGAGACTTAGAGATCTGGTTCTATATTGTGTGTGTGTGTAGGGACGGAACTAGAATTTCATCATCAGATGGGCCAAAAGACAAATAAATTTTTTCACTATATATATAAGCACACATGTATGTACAGTATGATATATAAATTATATCTATACACATAAAAAAAAATTCAAATACCATAGAAGCAATTTCTAATAAGATAAAAAAGTTTTTTTGGTGTAAAATAAAAAGAGATGCAAGATGGGATAAGAATGAGATACGTATTTTTTATATTGGGGGGTCATATTACGTATAAAATAAGATATATAGTTATAAAATGCCATGACAAATCTTATTTTTCACAGAAACATGGGGGGCCATAGCCCCCTATAGTCTTCTCCCAGTTCTGTCCCTGTGTGTGTGTATATATTCCTCTATTTACATGTGTACTGGTTGCATGTGAATATGTGTGTGTGTGTGTGTGTGTGTGTGTGTGTGTGTGTTTCAAAGTTCTGTGTTTGTTGATTGTTGATTTTGATGTTATTTTCTATTTGGTTCCCAAGAGAATGAAGGAAAAGTTGAGAAATTGATCATTTGAACATCAAAGCAATAGTGAGAATAAGACTATTTGGTTTTCTTGTTATGTTTGTGTTTTTCTCAACAACCAAACACGTAGGTTTATCAATACATGACACCTTTTAGTGTGATTCAAAGTCGATTTTCTCCTCAGATCATAGTATTTATTTATTTATTTTTAATTTTATGTAAGAGTTTATTTTAATGCTGTCATATTGAGGTGTTGGCTAGTTTATATACCCTATTGTACAAGTTTTTATTTATTATTTATATTTTTGTTGTTTTTGATCTTGAGGAGAGAGATATTGTTGTTGTTGAATTTAAACAAATAGATTTTCAAAACATAGAGATTTGTTATTGAATTTGAATTTTATTTGTACAGATGATAGAAAGGGAGATAGAGAGAATTTGAACAGATAAATTGCAATAGATAGATTTTTTCAACAAAAAATTTCAACAGATAGATTTTTTAAATAAGATAATTTGAACAGATAGAGAGAGGAACCCACATATTTTAAACAGATAGGGAAAAAAATTAAAATAGATAAGGTAAAAAAAATTGAACAAATAGGAAAAAAATGAATAGATAGGAAAATTTTTGAACAAATAGGGAAATTTTTTGAACAGATAGTCAACAAAAGTCAATAGATAAATTAAGGGGTAAAATTGAAAACAAACAAAAGGACTTCTCACGAAACTATTTTACAAATGATGAGCTTCTCACCAACAAAAAATATCTATTGGACCTAATGCCTTATACCCTCTTTAGTTTGGATTTGTTACCAATTTACTTTTAAATGAATCAAAGTCAAAAACATAATTAATTGAATTTCTACTATGGCAAGAGAGAACAAAATCATAACTCATTTCAAATAAGGGTTAGGCTTCTCTTACGTTAATTAAGATGACAACTTTAGAGAACGTTTGGCTCGGTAGGCTAATTTTTTGATTGATTTTGGTGATTTGAACCGTTGACCTTTTAAAAGTAGTTTACTAGAATATTCATGTAGAAAATCAAAATAATTAGACATCAGTAGCTATATGTTTAAATCATATTTGTTTTTAAAAATAGATGACAAATATAATTTCAAAAATAACTATCCATTTTTTATAATATAAATTTGATTCGAACATATAGTTACTGATTTCCTATCATCTTAATTTTTTACATGAATATTTTACTTAATGAATCCTAAAAAGTGAACGGTTCGAATAATCGAAATTAGTGCCAAAATAGACCTACTAAGTCCAAATGCTATCTCAAGTTGAGGTAACCAATATAAGAGAAGCCCAATTTTTTCGATGTGTCTTTATCAATAATCACCAAACAAGTTTTTGCCTTTGATCTAATGTCTTATACTCTCTTTGGATGGACTTTTCACCAATTTCTACTCTTTGAATATGGTTTCTCTCAAGTTGGCTATCCCAACTTGAGAGAGCGTTTGGACTTAGTAGATCCATTTTATGATCGATTTCAATAATCCAAACTATTCATTTTTTAGAACTCATTGAATAAAATATTCATACAAAAAATAAAATTATCGGACATCATTAGTTATAGTTTGAATCATATTTGAATTGCAAAGAATGAATGGCTATTCTTAAAATTATATTTACCATCGATTTTGTAAAATAAATATGATATAAAACTTATAGCTATCGACGTCTAATTATCTTAAATTTTTTGCATGAGTATTCTATTCAACATGTCTTAAAAAGTGAATGGTTTCAATCATCAAAATTGGTCTCAAAATGGGCTTACCGAGCACAAACGTTCTCCCAAGTTGAGATGACAACATGAGAAAAGCCAAAACCTTTTTCTATATATATATATATATATTTATTTATTTAACATAGTCACTCAAATACCTTATTAGTATCTCATTTTTATACATAAATTGTTAACCTTTTACTCTTATAAGTGTGTTCTGGTATAGTAGTAAAATTAATTCTAAAATAATTATCTAAAATATTTTTATTTGTAAAATAATGGTATATTAATGTTTGAACAAATTATAACTAATATTTTATAATCATGTAATGAATAATGAGAATGTTATAAAAATTCGTGATTTTAAATTGAAACAAACAACATAATATTGATTCGATCTGATTTGATTATAAATTTTTCATAATCAAATTTAATTCTAAAAATTTCCTAAAATCTTAATTTACGGATTGTTTGAGAATAATCTAAAACAATACACTTATTATCTTTTTTAGGTCATATTATTTCTTTATTTTTTTACACATTCTTTTTGGATGAAGCTCCAATAAATCCCAAAATATAATTTTATGAACTATTTAATCCTCATTTTTTTCTTATGAACCTAAAAGTCCCATTAATGTGGAAATTACACAGAAGGGTAGTCATTTACACGTTTGAGTTTAATTTTTCAAGGATAAAATGGGTTTCTCCAAATGTAAAATTACACATTTATCCGTACTATAGAGGTTTTGATTTTTTCCCTCATTCTTAAACAAATCCCACATTATGAATAAGAATGTAACATTCAAATGTAACACTCTAATGTAATACACTAAAAAATTCCTTAGTATACTTTTCACAAACATAACAACGTAACACTCCAAACTTTTCCCAAACGTAACACACAAAAAAGGAGTTCGGATCCCCTCCTTAAGAACCCTCCTCCACATCCTACTTTTCAGATGAGCCGTTGCACATCCAACGGCTGAGATTAAAAAAAAAAAAAAAAAAAATGAAATTTTCGTCCATTCTCGCCCAAACAAAACACGACTCTCACAGAGGTTATACATTTAGAGGTTATGCGCACTCCTCTCACACAGCCTACAGCCTACACTCACCCATTCTCCTCCATCCTCATCGGTGACCCAATACCGGCGGCGACCCACTCTCGACGTCATTGCAGATCCGACGATGGTAACCCAGTCTCAAATAGATCCAGATTCTGTCTGGATGGGCGGGTCCTTGGCAAACCAGAGGTTAGTCTTCCTCTTTGCCTCACACTGTGTAATTTATTATTTGAGCTTGAAACATTATCTGTCTCAGCCGAGGATTATTTGTTTGAGCTTAAAAATTATTTTGCAAACAATGTCTGGTCTGTAATTTATTATTTTGCAAACGATTTTGCAAACAATGTCTGGTCTGTAGTTTAATTTTTATGTTTATATGCAGAATAATTTGAGCTTAACAATGTTTGAGCTTAACAAACAACATTTGAGCATGACAATGGGTTCATCTTAACATTATTTGAGCTTAACAATTTTTAACAAATTATTTGAGCTTAACAAGTGTCTGGTCTGTCTTAACATTATCTGTTAAGCTCGAATATTGTTATGTCTGTTAAGCTTAAAAATTACAATAATGTTATGTCTCAGACACTTAATATTTGAGCTCAAACATTACAGACCAGACACTTATTTGAGCTTAACATTATTTGTCTTAACAATCGATACAAATTGCTATGTTAGAGACATTATCTATGTAATGGATTATTGATTATGTTTGATTGAGCTTGAAAACATATCCTCTTCCAAAAAATGTGTGGTCGGAATTTTTTAAAACTGAACTTAGTCTCTAAGTTTTTATGGCTGGAATATTTTTTCAAATTGAAATTATGTTTTTATGTGTCTAAAATAAAGGTTTAATTTATGTACCTAAGATTTTATTTATATGGATTTTCAGTTGCATTTTGATATCGATATGGAACCTGAGAATGATTGTGCTTGGAAGCCAAAACAGGGAATGACATTTGATTCTGAACAATGTGCGTATGATTTTTATAATACATATGGAGGAAGAATGGGGTTTAGCATAAGAAGAGATTATTGTAGGAAGAACAAGTTTACTAACCAACTTATTTGTAGACTTTTGGTTTGCAACAAGGAGGGATTTCGAAAGGTTGACAAGTGAGACCCATTGGCAAAAAACCCTAGAGCTGAAACTAGGACCAGTTGTGAGGCTCGACTTTATATTAAATTAGATGAGGGTACTGGGAAATTTGTTGTGACTGATTTCAAAGAAAAACACAACCATGATCTTGTATCACCCGAGTGTGCCCACATGTTGCCATCACAAAGAAAGATATCAACTACCCAAGCAATTGCGTTAGATTTGGCGGCACAATCTGGTCTTCGTTTAGGCCAGTCTTTTGAACTCATGGGTAGAGAAGCTGGTGAAAGGCAATGTCTTGGGTTTACGAAATTAGATCAAAAAAATTATTTAAGAACCAAAAGACAACAAAGTTTAGCATATGGGGAAGTAGGCAATGTGTTGCAATACTTTAAAGAAAAATATTTGCAGAATCCTTCCTTCTTTTATGCTTTTCAATTAGATAATGAGGAGCAAATAACCAATATGTTTTGGGCCGATGCACAAATGATCATGGATTATGCCCAATTTGGTGATGTTGTCACATTTGATACGACTTATAAGTTAAACAAAGAACATAGACCCTTTGCATCTTTTGTGGGATTCAACCATCATAGGGAAACAATTATATTTGGTGCAGCATTGTTGTATGATGAGACCACCGAATCGTTTGTATGGTTGTTTGAAAATTTTCTAGAGGCTATGTCAAGAAAGGCACCAAAAACTTTGTTCACCGATCAAGATGCTGCAATGGCTAAAGCCATACCCATCGTTATGCCTCATACAAGTCACCGATTGTGTACTTGGCATTTGATGCAAAATGCATTAAAACACGTTAACTGTTTGTTCGAAGATAAGGGAGTGAAGGGTGTATTAAATAAATTCTTCTTTAACATTGAAGATGCAAATCAATGGAAGTTAGAGTGGGCGGAAATGCTTGATAAATATGATGCGCATGAAAACCATTGGTTGAAATTGACTTTTGCGGTGAAAGAAAAATGGGGCTGGCCTTACGTTAGATCAACATGGGCTGCGGGAATGAGTACCACACAACTTAGTGAATCTTTTAATGTTTTTTTGAAGGATTACATTCGTTCTGATTTTAACTTAAATGAATTCTTCATGCATTTCGAAAGGGTACTTTACGAGAAGCGATACAAGGAGTTAGAAGCAAGATATGCTTTGTGCCAAAGGTTGCCAAAGGTGAAAGCAACAATAAGAATGTTAATTCAAATGGGTAATGTCTACACAAAAAAGATCTTTGAGGAATTTCAAAATGAGTACTTTCAATCCATTGAATCGGACATAGAAGCAATTGAATATGGCGAGGCTAGTACCATTTACACAGTTGTTGATGTTGGTAACAAACATGCAAGGAAAGTGAAGATGGACAGGGATGGCTTTTTGGGTTGTAATTGTACAAAGTTTGAAAGGAAAGGAATCTTGTGTTGTCACTCATTGAAGGTTATTAGAGACATATTGAAGATGAAAGAGGTTCCTCTACAATACATTCTAAAGAGGTAGACCAATCAAGCAAGAGCCGAAACTATGAAGGACATTAAGGGGAATGACATTCAAGTAGATATGAAATTCCAACAAGCCTCGCGGTATAAGACATTGATGACCGCATTTAGAGCACTAGTAAGTAGAGCTACTGAAACTGAAGAAACTTATGATTTTTGTATTGCACACCTTGCTACATTAGGTGCAAATGTTGAAGGCAAGTTAAGTGCTCATTTTGGTGTTGGAAAGGAAATAGGTAATGATGGTGACACCCAAAGCTTTGAAGTGGATTGCGAAGATGTGAATCATGTTGTGCAACCAAAAGGATTGAAGAAAAAGGTGGCAACTAGTAAGGGCAAAAAGAGGGTCAAAGGTGGATTCGAAGCGGCGTTGGTAGCGAACTCCAAAAAAAAATCCCGTGCTAACAGCTTGGCTTCGTCACAATCTATTGCAAGTTCAACAGTTGCACCTCCTCCATTATCTATTGGAGGAGATATATATGTTCGTCAACATGTTCCTTCTCTTCAACCTCTTCCTCCCCTTCATCCTCTTCCTCCATCTTTGCCCATGGGTGGTAATTCTATTCCTCCGCCATTGATGTATCCCACATATCATGTAAGTGTCACTTTAGCATTGTATTTTTTGTGTGGATATAATATGTGACTCAAACCATGACTGAAACCATAATTACGAAGCCTAATATATGACATTGTTGCAGACGCACAATTTGCGAGAGATGTATGTAGTGCCAAATTATTTGCCAAATTCAATGCCTCAACGGCATTCTGCTCAACCAACATTCCAGTCACTACTTCAAGGTTCATGTGGATATGACATTGGGTTTCGATATTCTCAAGAATCAACTAGTCCAATGTGTAGTCAGGTTCGTCCTTGATGCATTTTTAATTTATAGTTGATGAAAATTTTGGGTTTTTGGTTGATGAAAATTCCGTGATAACATGTATTTACTTGCTAAAAATTCTGTCTTTTTTTTTTTAGGCTATGGACAAGCAGAAACAGAAGCAAACTGATGCTGAAATTGGGCTGGAAAGTGAAGTCATGGCCTCTGAAATTGTGAAGCAAATTGCAACTGGAAAGTGATGTGGAGAAATGTGTGTTCAAATGTTAATGGCTTGTATGTGTGTTCAAAGCAAACTGTGAAGCAATGTGTGAATAATGGACCACTGTGTTATTTTAGATGGACCAATGTGTTAATTTACATGGACCAATGTGTCAATTTTGATGGACCAATGTTTTAATTTAGATGTTAAACTTGTATTGGTTGATGTTCATTTACAGTTGATTTTAATTTAGATGTTAAACCCAAGTGAGCTGGTTGTGGTTGATGTTCATTTAACTTGGTTGATGTTCATTTAACTTGTATTGGTGTCCATGTTGGTTCTGGTTTTGGTATGCTGGTTCTGGTTCTGTATTGAACACAAATCTGGTTCTATTGGTATGCTTCTGGTATGGTGTTCATTTGTTCTGGTTCTGTTGGGATGTTACTATATTGCTACTGGTATGGATCTGCTGCTACTGGTATGGATCTGTTAGGATGTTAATGTATTGCTATCCATGTTTATCTCCTTGTTCTGTTCTAGTTCTGTTTCATGTATTGCTGCCGGTATGGATCTGTTGGGATGTTAATGTATTGCTGTCCATGTTTATCTCCTTGTTCTGTTCTGGTTCTGTTTCATGTATTGTTGCTGGTATGGATCTGTTGGTATGGAGGTTAATGTATTAATGCTAAGTCAAAAGGATCTCTGGTTCAGGAAATTGCAAATAATGCATACTCTAAAGGTTCTATACTAAAAGAGAAAAATAGACTGTAACACGCTTAAAGAGACCATTCTCACTTACTTAAGCTACTGATGATCACAGAAAACCTGAGGGGAAAAAATCGTTTGCAATATATATGCATATGAAGACTCCTAAGTGTGATGCTGCTGCCATACTCTAACTTGCTAATAGATAAACTTCCTAAACCAAAATGCTAACAGTAAGTCATGCTGCTCGCATACTCATTCCATCATTCATTCCATCATTCATTCTATAACAGATAACAAGTTGAATGTTTCCCAAAATTCATTCCATCATTCATTCCATAACAGATAATAGATAACAAGTTGATGTACATAAAACCCAAAATAGTACAAACTTCCATTCAGTTTCCCAAATTATAATAAAGTACAAAAGTTACATCATAAAGTACAAAATGATAGAAAATACAATGAAGTACACCATATTTTTTTATATTATTTTCCATCATTTGAAGCCTTCGACCATAGTCATTTTCCATGTAATCAAGCCTCATCCTTACATCGTTCAAGTCTTCTACTGTTATACGAGCAAAAGTTGTACTGTTGGAACGGATTCTGGACGTAACGTCTTCATCATCTTCATCCACGAACTTGAAGTAATTGCAATGGTGAGTGAGAGTGTTACTCTGCAATGCATGCGAATCAGTTAGTTGAATAAGACAAATATTAATGTGACTAATAAAGGAAGAAAATAGCTAGAATTACTAACTTACATATTTTGATGGGCAAACAAAGAACAAACGCCCTTCATTTCTATTCTCATTGGTTCTTACAATATGTATGGCAGCGGTTCTTTCACAATTGCACAGCCTTGATTGTAATCTTATTGTCACGACCCAAACCCGCCCCTATGGGTTTAGCACTGTAACCGGCCAGTAATCCGAGATTACCGAAGGCCTGCTTAACAGTAAAACAGTAATACAGAGTACAGGGGTTGGCGAAAACCAAAATAGTAATTAAAAGATGTCCAATGAGCTGTGACAGTCTGTATGCAAAAAGATTTTTCATACATATACACATTCAAAAAATAAAAGACAATATGCACATACATCATATACAATCATTCAGGTTAGGGACCAAGTCCCCACCATAACAGTACAGTACCAGTTTATACAGTCTATACAAAATAGAAACAGGAAGGGGGAAATCTAAAACACCCCCAAGTAGCCTTAGTTTGGCAGCACTTGGAACCTCGCAGTGAGGCACGTTGGTTGGCTTGACAAAAAAGGAGTTTAACCCAACGCTCCTAGCTCGGATCTGGTGCCTGGACACCTACATATATATATATATATATATATATATAAACTGTAAGCCAAAGCCCAGTGAATAACATATGCGTAAAGAGGTTAAGAATGAATGTCCTTTCAGTATTGAAAACAGTCATTTATCAGTATATCAGTCATTTCGTTTGTGGCTCATATTTCATGCCATAGCAGTCATTTAGAAACCATAATAGTCATATGTGGTACATCCAATAGCAAAACAGTACAATAGGTCTTAACAGACCAAACAGTCAGTTGATGGCCATCATATCAGTAAACAATAGTGGTTCTAACATGAGAACCGATAGAGATCTTTGTAACAGTAGCAGTAACAGTTTAGTAACAGTAAATTACTATGGATGCCACGAATACAGTTCACAAATAGGACAAACATTCATTCAGTAAACAGTGTCATTTCATAAAGCAGTACAGTCATTTATTCAGAAAATAATCTCAATTGAACATATTTACAACATAGTTACTCACAGAGTTCTGGGCTACAGGTAAGCTAGAACGTCTTCGGATGCCAACCCTACAGTTATAGAATGAGCACACACTAAGCTACACAGTTGGGAAATAATAACTTAATCCCTAATTTGCCTCGGTGTGGTTCTACATCAATATCCTCATTAAGATGCCTTAAACTAGGCCTAGGAGTGCCTAGGATGGAATGAGGATTCAAAGATGCACTTAAAAACACTTTTCAAAATTTGCTGAAACAGGGGTCCACGCTCGAGCGTGGCTTTCTATGCTCGAGCGGACATGCAGAACAAAGGAGCTCCGCTCGAGCGTGGTTTCCTCCGCTCGAGTGGACTGTAAAATCATGCAAAAGTACTAGATGCATGCAATTCACGCTCGACGGACGCTCGATCCCCGCTCGAGCGTGAGACACAAGTCCTCGCTCGAGCGTGCATTCCCTCGCTCGAGTGGACTGTAAACATGGGCAAAGTACTGGATACACGCATTTCCCGTTCGAGCGTCACTTTCCCCGCTCGAGCGGATTGCATGAACACAGGTTGTACGCTCGAGTGTGGAGTTCCCCGCTCGAGCGTGAGTCCAAATTCTGGAAATTCCAGATTGAACCTTCAAGCTCAAAATCAACTTTAAATGTACCAAAATTGATCATTTTGGGATAATTTTCTGGAAACCACTGGTAAACTCATAGTATGGCATGTTTCAAAGATCAATTTGAGAAATCAAAGCCCAAAGGTAGTTCAATTAAACACAATTTCAAAGAAGTTTCCATGAATCATGAAGAACAATGCAAATTCAACACATACATGGGTTCCTAGGAACACCAATGCTACAAAACAAGATCAAATGCAATGTTTAACTTCAAAACATGGTGAGTTCATGGATCAAGACCAAAAATATGAACATGCATGAAGAAATCCTCATGAAACAACTTCAAAACTCAACAATATGAACATGCATGCATGAATTCCTACTCAATTCAACATAATAAGCCAATTCTTGACTCTACTCTTCAATATATCAAGAACCATGCAAGAACTAACTTAAATACAAGTTCAAGAAGATGGTTCTTCTACCTTATGCCTTGAATTACAAGTGTAGAAGCTCAATTATGCAAGACTCCTTCAAATTTTCTAAATTTCCAAGCAAAACAAGATGAAATCAAGCTCCTCCTAACTCTCTCTCTCTCTAGTCGGTTAGGCTCAGAAAATGGCTGAGGAAAAGATATGAATTAAGTCTCAAATGTTTTATGAGATGGCCTACTAACATGGCATTTTGGTAAATAAGTCGAACTAATGCAATACGACCTTATTTAATCCAATTTAGTCATACCAAATCACATTTCAATTAAATATACCATAAAATCACATAAATTCTATTTAGCATAAAGCACTAATCGATTTCAGATTCGGCCGCCGATAAGGCTTTCAATTTACAGTTCAAAACATAAAACATGAACAGATCA